ATCAAGAGTAGGTCACTTAACCAACTGAGTCACCCAGGCACCCTTGTATATGCCAAAAAATTTTAAATGGTTGTAGTAAGCCTACTAGCTTATTATTCATAATTTTCAAAAATGAAAGAGCAGATAAGAATATATTATAAGAATTATGCAATATAATAAGGAACTTTGGTTGTTTCTATGGCATGCAAAACAAGACAATAAAGTCAATCTAAGGGTGCCTGGGTGGCTCAGCCGGTTAAGTGTCTGCCTTCAACTCAGGTCATGATCCTGTGATTCTGCGGTTGAGCATCATTGCATCTAGCTCCCTGCTTACCAGAGAGTCTGCTTCTCTATTTCCCTCTATTGCTCCTTCTTCCGTCCACATTCGTGCTCCATCTCTCTCTCTCTCTCCCTCCCTCCCTCAAAATAAATAAATAAAATCTATTAAAAAATAAAAAATTAAATAAAATCAATCTAAGAAAAGCTTTAGACAAAATAATTAGAAACGTGATTAACTATTTTCAAAGAAGACAGTGAACATTACAACTAATTTATAAAAATGGATGAACACACTTTTTTTTAAAAGATTTTATTTATTTATTCATGAGAGACACGGAGAGAGAGAGAGAGGCAGAGACACAGGCAGAGGGAGAAGCAGGCTCCATTGAGGGAGCCTGATGCGGGACTCGATCCCAGGACTCCAGGATCATGCCCTGGGCCGAAGGCAGGCGCTAAACCGCTGAGCCACCCAGGGATCCCCTGAACACACTTTATAAAAAGGAAAAATAGTAAGACATAACGTATAATAATCCTGACTTTATATATTATGAATATATCAAGCTTTTTGTAAGAATATACCAAGAACACATCAAGAATGCTTAGAGATTCAATAACTCTTAAGTCCTAAATATCTGTATATTAATTAAACTACATAGATAATATGAATCTCCAGTTGAAGCCCAGAAGATGCTAGATTCAAATTTAAAAAGTAAAAATGTGACCATGCTATATTAAAAAGAAATAATAACTGAAATTATGACCAAAGGCTCCAACCACATAGCCAAGAGATCTGCTGCCCTCTTCTGGAGGCCAATATCCCATGATTCAGTTCTGACTTCAAGGAAAGAGGACACACGCAGAACCTCTAGGCTTACTTTTGCTTTTTCTTACTTTCTTCCTCTTAAAAAAATAATGCTAAATTCACATAAAAATTGCAAAAATAGTACAAAGAGATCCTGTGTACCCTTCACTGGGATTCCTCAATCATGGGTATTTCTAAGTCATTGAGAAACAGTTGCAGAATTGATGATCCATTAACCCCGAATATTTCAGAGCATATTTCCTAAAAACAAGAGTCCTATACAAACCACAGCACAACCATCAACATCAGAAAATTAACATTAGGGGTGCCTGGGTAGCTTAGTCATGTGTCTGCCTTTAGCTCAGATCAGGATCCTGGAGTCCCAGGATGGAGCCCATATCAGGCTCCCTGCTCAACAAGGAGTCTGCTTCTCCCTCTACCCCTCACCCAACTCATGCTCTGTCTTGCTCACTCTTTTTTTTCTCTCCCTCTCATATAAATAAAACCTTTTAAAAAAAAGAAAATTAACATCATTCCAAAATTACCATCTAATCTACAAGCCCTACTTGAATTTTGCCTCTTGTCCCAATAATGTCTTCTATAGGTACAGAAAATAAACACTGCATTTAGCTCCAGTCTCCTTCAATCTGAAACAGCTTCTCAGTCTCCTTGTCTTTCATGATCTTGACATTTATGAAAAGTACTGCCAGTTACTTTGAGGATTCTCCCTCAATTTGTATTTGTCTAACATTTACTTATAATTTATGCATTTTTTGCAGGAATACCCCAGAAGTGATGCACGATATCAATTTGTCCCTTGACTGATGATATAACTGTTAACTAGTAGTTAAATGAATTAGCTGAATAGTAATTAAATTAGATAGTAGTTAATGAGTAATTAAAGATAATTAATAAGTATGGCATGCTTATTAATTAGTAAGTAATTAATAAGATTTGTGAAAAGATGCTTTGAGACCATGTAATTATCCCATTCCTCATCATAATGATTCTTATATGAATTACTTATCACTTATTTGGGGATCTTAACAAAATCATTCTTTTCTAATTCCATCATTTCTTCTACACTTCATTGGTGCTCCAATGTAAAGTAGAGCTTTCTTTTTATTTTATTCATTTATATCAGAACATATTCATGGATCGTTATGTTTTTCAAAGAGTTAAATCCACTATTATCAATATTTATTTTGTTCTTATTCTTTTTAATAATTTATTTATTTATTTATTTATTTATCAGAGAGAGAGAGAGAGAGCGCGCACGTAGGCAGGCAGAGGGAGAGGGAGAAAGCAGGTGCCCTGCTGAGCAGAGAGCCTGACTTGGGGCTCAGGGCTCAATACCAAAACCCTGGGGTCATTACCTGAGCCAAAGGCAGACACTTAACCAACTGAGCCACCCAGGCACCCCCATCAATATTTATTTGGGGGGGTCAATTGTTTGTACTTACTCTGGACCAACAAAGAAGAAAGCAGTAGTTGACGATATGGCAATGACAGAAATATGGGGGAAATGACCATTTCATTTGTTGATGCCCTTCTGCCAAAGACCACCATAAACATTCATATAGTTAAACAAACTGGCTTTACCACTCATTGCAACAAGAGGGAACACAAATTATAGGTAATCATGGGATATCTCAGTGAGAGAGAATAAGAGTCTGTTAGAGGATTTGGTCTTCCCTTGGGTGATTTGGGGAGAGTATAAAAAAGAAATTGTTCAAAAATTGAATACTGTCAGAAATCAACAGTATGAATACATAAAAAATAATAGTCATTCATTTAGCAAGAGGGGGGTATTTTGTATTCTGTGGTTTTACATAGTTATCTTGTTCTTGTATGTGAGTACAAAATTATGAAGCAGCTTGTTTTGTCCATTTTATCATGATCTCAGGGTAATGATGTCTGAGGTTGGTATTCTGCAAGATTATTTAAAATGAACAAATGGCCTGTGAGTGTCAGGTCACTTCTAGACATCAGAGGCTGCTTCTTTCTCATGATATAAGAGTGGGAGTGCATGATTGTGCAATGTCACACATCAGCATTTTAGTAGACTAGCACAGTTCATAATTCAGCTTTATATGGCCATATGCATCACAGACTTTATAACTTCTCTAACTGGCAAAAATGAACATGTTTATATTGCCTCTTCATAGCATATAAAGTAAGAAGCTGGGGAATGTGAAGTGGGTGAACACGGGAGCCAAAAGGCAAAAGCTTCCAGTTATAAAATAAAGAAGTCATGGGGATGTAATGTACAGCATGGTCACTATAGTTAGTAATACTGTACTACACATTTGAAAGTTGCTAACGAGAATAGATTTTAAAAGTTCTCATCACAAGAAAAAAACTGTAACTATGTGTGGTGACATGTTAACTAGACTTATGGTGGTGATTATTCTGCAATATATCAAATATCAAATCATTATTTTGTATACCTGAAACTAATATAACATCATGTCAGTTTTACCTCAATAAAAACAAGCAAACAAAAATATATATGGCCTATCTTAATAAACTAGGGGAGGAATTTACAAAGGGGTTTCAAGAGCCTAGCCAGTAATAGTACTGCCTGAAAGTTAGAAAGTACAGCTTTATACTTAAGATCATATTCTCTGGAGTCCAACTACCTGGGATCACCTTCCACCTCTGCTTCTTACTAGCTATGTGATCTTGGGCAAGTTTCTTAGCAACCCTGAGCCTCTGTTTCCTCACCTAAAAAGTGAAAGACTGGGAGGCCTGGGTGGCTCAGTGGTTGAGCATCTGCCCTCAGCTCAGGGTGTGATCCGGGGGTCCTGGGATAAAGTCCCGCATCGGGCTCCCCATAGGGAGCCTGCTTCTCCCTCTGCTTATGTCTCTGCCTCTCTCACTCTCTGTCTCTCATGAATAAATAAATAAAATCTTTAAAAATAAACAAATGAATAAAAATTTAAAAAATTAAAAGTGGAAACTAACAGTTCCTGTTTCATAGGGTTGTTTTGAGGATTGAATCAAGTAATTCTCATGTTACAGAACTACGCGCTCAGTAAATGTCAGCTATTACAAAACAAAAATGAAGAAGCAAAAATATATAAAATAAACTTCAAATTTAGTAAGCAGTGTTTCAATTTAGAAATGATCTAAATATCCAATAAATATCCATTAACTCAATTTATTGTCCAAAGCTAACCACATTACAAATCATCTTCAAGCTGACATACTAACAGAAGATACTGTTGAAATACGATTGTCAATAAATAAAACTTTAAAATAATTACTGTCAGAATAATGAATCAATTTGGTTAAACACAAATCTATATTTTTCATACCTTAAAAATTAAGTAGAAGTAATGCTAGCTTCTTTGAGTATATCTGTATACATTTAGGAAGAACTTACCTAAGTTGAATAAAAACATAACCTTGTATTGTATCTATATTGATAAATCAAAAAAATTGCTCTTTCTATTAACCCAAAGTTAACTAGCAATGTATAAGTTTTCCAGTTTCTTCATGTCTTCCACACATTGGTTATTGTATGTCTTATTCTAGAGGGCATAAAATGGTATCTTACTGTGATCTTAATTTGCATTTCTCTGATGACTAAGGATGTTGAGCCTATTTTTATGCACTTATTAGTCAGAAGTCCTTTTAAAAGAATGTGATTTTTTTTTTTTTTTTTTAGAATGTGATTTTCTTAAGAGTACTGGCCGCACTGGCACATGCTCCTGCTCACTCTCTTGCTCTCCCTTCACCTGCTGCAAGAGACTTACAGCATCTCACTTAATGTTGGAATCACATACACACACATTATAGTAAACATATGAAAACTCACTCCTATCTCACATATTATTTACACAAGAATGAAATCCTTGATCTAATTCCCTTGGGTAGATATGCTGTTGGAATTCAGAATTTTTCAGATTTTGAAATGATAATAGATTGTACATACCACATATTACATAATGCTTCCACAGGGGCTTGGGATAGTATTCATAGTCAAACACATTTCTATTTCTGCAGAAAAAAAATATGAATATTCACACCAAGAGGAATAAATAGAGAACATAAACAGCTTCAGGTTATGCTGTGCTGCCAAATCAGTTCACCCCAAACTAGCCAAAAAATTTTTCATTTTCAGAACTTTCTGGATTCCAGAATTGTGGATAAAGACTTGTGGGGCTATTTATATCAATGTAAGAGTTGAATAGGCTACCTGACAATGTTCAGGTTATTTGACATTTAATTAAATATTTATTAATTTTGGATTTTCAATTTTCTTTTTCTATTTTGGAGCCAATAACTTTTTCCCAAATATCAACCATCTAATAGACTACTAGGAATCTCTTAAACTCTGTGCACTATGCCCCCAGTACAGACAAAATACTCTTGTTGATTTATGTAAACATGAGAAGGGACACAGAAACAAGAGCAAAAACAAAAGAGTAGCATGAACTTGTAAGAACAGTGAAAAAACGCTAGTGGCCAGAATAAGTGAGTGCTTAAGAATAATGCCAAAATGAGGAAGGAGAACATTTACTCAGTACCTGTGAAATATCCAGCACTGAACTAACTTTTTTCAAATGCCATCTCTTTAATCACCATTCAAAACCTAATAAGAGGGTATTATTATCCTCATTTTGGAGATGAGATCAAATATTCAGAATTTAAGAGCTTTCCCCAGAATTAAACAGTCAGTATGTGATGGAACCAGGATTTGAATCTATGTCTTCCAAATCCAAGGTCAATACTCTTCTCATAATAATGTCTTGGTATAGTCAGAATAGAATACATACAAAGAGAGTCATCCCTGGGGAAGAGATTTACATCTTTTTCATTAGGTAAAATAATTAAGCCAACTGGAGATAAGCAAAAATGACCAAGAGAATTGAATACTAACAAATAGGAAAGAGGAAAAAGACACTCAACTAATTTAAGAGATTTTATATCTCTAACCCTCAATGAGTTTTCATCAAAGGTTAACATAAGAGTTTGCAGATATAATTTCAGAACCAAAGTTAGTAATAGTCACAAATCATGGAGAAAAGAAGGAGTATCTGATAATGCACCAACATTTTCCTTATTTCTAAAATTGGGGAAGGGGGGTAAATTCCAAAAACATTAGATCACTAAAGTTTGACCTCAGTCTTGAGCAAAACTCTTAAGTGGAATCCTAAACGAATGACTTATAGAGCACAACATAGTGATCACTATTTGACTAAAACCAATAAGCATACCAAAATAAGCCCATTTTCTCTTTTATATGGTTCTTTAACTGATTCTAAGAAAAGGGTCTTAAGTTAAAGTCCGTGGCTTGTGAACTTTGAAATCACACGCAAAATTTAGTGCATGTGAACATTTTTCTGGCTGGACAAAGGGTCTTTTAGCTTTCATTAGATTTTCAAAGTTGTAGAGTCAGAGGCTTTTGTGATCTCATGGCAGTGAGAAAAAAATGAAGTCTCCGGGGATCCCTGGGTGGCGCAGCGGTTTAGCGCCTGCCTTTGGCCCAGGGCGCGATCCTGGAGACCCGGGATTGAATCCCACGTCGGGCTCCGGTGCATGGAGCCTGCTTCTCCCTCTGCCTGTGTCTCTGCCTCTCTCTCTGTGTGTGTGACTATCATAAATAAATAAAAAATTAAAAAAAAATGAAGTCTCCGATCAGCCTGTGCACGTCCTGTGAGTCCTCTCTTGTGTCCATGGTGATCTCCTTTGCCTCTTGGTTGCTGGGTGCTCTGATGGTACCTGCTGCTTAAAATCTATCACTTGTGAATTCTGATCAGTCTTGGCTCTAATAGAGTTTTCCTTAACTGGTTTGATTCTACCTCCGCAGTTGCTGTTGCTGTAGACCCTCTGAGCCTCATACAGGGCCTCCATCTGGCCTTGACAGTCTCCATTACAGCCTCTCCTGCAAAGGTGCTTCATCCGCCTGAGGAATTTCTGGTGCCCTTCCATACCTCATGGGGACCAAAGGAGATGCAGGAGTGCTACCCCAGGCCCTCTCTCTGCCTCACCACTCTGTACTCTGCAACTTGCACTTACCAGACTGGCCCCACAGGAAATAACAGTCTCTTTCCAGGATCCCAAATGAATGATGGAGCACAGGCCTCCTCTGCTTTTGGCATTTCTCTCAACCTACCTAACCCCCTCTCAACCACACACATACACATGCACACACACAGATTTCAGCACAGAGAATCAATGTGTGTGTATGATCACACTTGAATGTTATTGCTTACTCCCTTCTCTCTTCTCTTTGTCCCATATTCTATCAGATCAGAAGAATTAGGATTTCCATCACCTTATACTGCAGAAGAGATGTTCCATAAGTCATATTCTTGGAGGGGTAACATTTGTCCTTCCCCAGGTCTGTAATAGCAGAAGGGTTACAGAGAAAACTTATTTATGGGCCTGCTAGGAGGTAGATGTATGTGTGTTGGAAGGGAATGGTGAAGATTGAAAATTTCATAGGCTTAGTATTTTTAGACATTACCCAATTACACGTGATAATTGTCCTGAAATATTTGAAAGATGTGATCCAGAAGATAGAATTAACTTATTCTTTATTCTCTAATGGGCTGAAATACACCAGTGGTGTAAGCTACAGGAATGCAAATTTAGATTTTTTTAAAAACTTTCCAGTGACCAGAGGTTTTGTTCAAACATAAAATAGGATAATGTAAGAAATAGGGATGCCTAGGTGGCTCAGCATTTGAGTGTCTGCCTGTGGCTTGGGGTGTGATCCTGGAGTCCTGGGATCAAGTCCCGCATCTGGCTCCCAGCATGGAGCCTGCTTCTGCCTCTGCCTCCATCTCTGCCTCTCTCTCTCTCTCTGGGTCTCTCATGAATAGATAATTAAAATCTTTTTAAAAATTATCCCTTCCTTTTAAAAAAAAAGGATAATATAAAAAATAATGGGGGGATCCCTGGGTGGCGCAGCGGTTTAGCGCCTGCCTTTGGCCCAGGGCGCGATCCTGGAGACCCGGGATCGAATCCCACGTCGGGCTCCCGGTGCATGGAGTCTGCTTCTCCCTCTGCCTATGTCTCTGCCTCTCTCTCTCTCTCTCTCTTTCTGTGTGACTATCATAAATAAATAAAAATTTAAAAAAAAGAAATAATGGGATGGTGTCACTGGAAATGTTAGTATTAAATCACAAGTTTGGATGGCTGCTGATCAAAGATACATAGGGGAAAAAAATCCACTTTGGTTTAAAGATCATAATAAATGACCTTAAAATTACCTAAGGATACAGACTGTCATCTTTTTTTTTTCCAAATGAGATTTTAATCATTTCTCTTCTGACATTATTAGCAAGTAGACTGCAGACTGACATGTCTCTGAGTTGACCATCCACTACTCTATCTCAGACTAAAGGTAGCCAAGACTTGAGGCTAGCAGCAGAGAGGAAAAGTCATATGCAAGGAATTGAAACACCAAGCCCGTGTCACATATTGGCATGCAGTCTAAATTTACACTACTCATATGGTGTGGGATTCTTAAAAATTCACATACACACACACACACACACACAAGAAATAAGTGGACCTGATTAAAAATTCAAAGGCTATGTCCGAGACAAATGACAATTTTCTTTGTAGGGAAACTTCACAACCCAAGCATGTGAAATCCCCACTGAAATAATCTTCTGAAAATGAGTTTACAATCAAGAGTTGCAAATTATGAGGAAACAAACCACAAAACAAAGTTAGCAAAATAGTTAGCATACCAAGAACTAGATGTAATAAAACAATCTGAATGTAATGTAAAATAAATATGTTCTATCAAAAAATTCAGAAATCTCTACTTAACATGAATATTTTATTGAGCAAGGAATAAACTATTGGAGAATAGGGAGACAATCTAAAGTAGTTAAACTCCAATCTCAGCAGTTACAGCTCAGTTTATAAAGCATGAAAACAGGAGTGCATTTTCTATTGTGTCCTGTACTAGAAACTTACACTCTTTTTCATCCCAAGCTCACTTTGTAGCTGATTAGCTAGGGAGCGTTTTTTTTCTTAGTAAGGTTTACACCCAACGTGGGGCTTAAACTCACTACCCCCAAAATCCAGAGTCGCAGGCTCCACTGATTGAGCCAACCAGGTGCCCTCCGGCTATAAAGCTTTAAGGTCATACGGACATGAAGAAATCTTAACTTTTTAAGGTCAGAGTAAGCGTTTGGGGAAATCAGGACAGTTTTAACTTTTGGTTGCATGATTATGAGGGTTTGGTCTAGGAATATATTCAAACTGTGGTCTCCATTTTGGTTTTGCTTTAACAGTTACAAATAATAAAAGATTAAAGAAATATTTGGATCCAAAATGAAAGAACAATACAAGAAAGAAAGAAGTTAGGGAGGGAGAATGGGAGGAAGGAACGAACGAGTCAAATAGATTGATTTCTTTTTAATTTTTATTTATTTATGATAGTCACACAGAGAGAGAGAGAGGCAGAGACACAGGCAGAGAGAGAAGCAGGCTCCATGCACCGGGAGCCCGACGTGGGATTCGATCCCAGGTCTCCAGGATCGCGCCCTGGGCCAAAGGCAGGCGCTAAACCGCTGCGCCACCCAGTGATCCCAGATAGATTTCTTAAAAGAACCAAATAGAACTTACAGAAACAAAAAATATAATCACTGAAATTGAAAACTCAGTAGACAGATTAGATAATAGTTTAAATACAATTGAGAAGAAAATGTGTTACCTGGAAAGTAGATCTGAAAGAATTACTAGAGACATAGATAAATGGATGGAAAACATAAAAGAGGGATATAATAGGCAGAATAATGGTCCCCCAAGGATGTTCACATCCTTTTTTTTTTAAATTTATTTATTCATGAGAGACAGAGAGAGAGAGAGAGAGAGAGAGAGGGAGAGGCAGAGGCAGAAGCAGGATCCATGCAGGGAGCCCGACACAGGACTCGATCCCAGAACTCCAGAATCACGCCCTGAGCTGAAGGCGGGTGCTAAACCGCTGAGCCACCCAGGGATCCCGGATGGTCACATCCTTATCTCTGGAACCT